GGGTGTCGCGAGTGGGTCTGTGTGGATAGACGGTGTGGTTTGTTTCGCATTAACTGTCGGGGGTTTATTTCGCATTTTGTTTGGTCTGGACAAAGGTAGGCGAGTTTGTTTGGTGGCACGAGAACGTCCGTCGCTCCATTTCGAAAAGGAAGGTGGATATTTAATAAAGTTTTATTTAGCAAATTTTTGACGCCCTGATCTAATTCGAGGATTTTTTGTGTGTGACGAATGTAAACGTGTTTGGAATTTTTGTCTTTTGGGAAGTGAAGAGAGGAAACGTCTATTCGAAAGAAGGGGAAAAAAGTGTCGTGTGGTTTGATATTGTATAGAAGTTGTTGCCAAGGCGACGTCGAGTACAACAAAGTCCCTCGTCTTTTCTCTCAATTCTCTCTCTCTCTCAATTTCTCTTTCTATCTTTTCTCTCTCCCTATCTTTCTGTTTCTCTCTACCCGACCCGCATTACCCAAACGAAATCCATCCGACCGGGGGGGTTGAAAATTCAGAAAACAACCCACAAACCAACTCGAGAATAAGAAGGAAATCGCGCCAGGAAATCCAAGAAAAGCGAAGGATTGGAAAGGTCGTGCCATCTCTCCCTCCCTCGACCTTCGAAGGACCAGAGCCCCCTGTTCGAAACCCGCCGCACAGATGAATAAATCCGGCAAGAAAGTCAAAATGGCTTCCATCCGCTCCATTCGCGCGGGCCTCTCCAAGTCGTACCAGTCGCTCAACACCCTGGGCGCCCACGACAACGCCAACGACGACTACAGCAACATGTACGACCGCAGCAACACCACGGACTGGATCGGCGTCGACAACTTCAAGAGCGGGAAGAACGCCAATTCGCCGTTCTCTGCCCTGAAGAACGCCATGTCAAGGGTGTCCCGAGGCAAGCACAGCGCCTCCAGGATCTCCGTCATCCTGAAGGAGTTGGACGACGAGTGGAGGATTCAGGAGGAGCCGGCGGTGGAGGACAACTTCTTGGGGTGAGTGGGAAGTCCAAAGGTTTTTATTTTTTATCTTTTTTTTATTTTTATTTTTTATTCGTGGATGTCGATGGGGATGGGGATTGGGAGGGGAGGGGAGGGGGGGAGGGGTGAAAATCTCTTGTGTCGGTGTTTGTCTGATTCTGTTTGTGTGTCAGTTCTCTTGTCTCTTTGTATCTCTTTTGTCTCTGTCTCAGTGTCATTATGTCTGGCTGTCTGTCTGTTTCTTGTCGCTTTCCCGGTGTCTGTCTTTCTCTCTCTGCGTTTATCTGTTTTTGTGTAGTTATTTATCTGTCTCCCAGTCTCTTTTCTCTGTCTCGATGGATCTGTCTGTTTCTTTTTATCTTGTATTTTGTCTCCCTCTCCCTCTCTCTCTCTCCCTCTCCCTCTCCCTCTCTCCTCTCCTCTCTCCCTCTCCTCTCTCTCTCTCTCTCTCCTCTCCTCTCTCCTCTCTCTCTCTCCTCTCTCCCTCTCTCTCTCCCTCTATCTCTCCCTCTCTCCCTCTATCTCTCCCTCTCTCCCTCTATCTCTCCCTCTCTCCCTCTATCTCTCCCTCTCTCTCTCTCTCTCTCCTCTCTCTCTCTCTCTCCCTCTCTCTCTCCCTCTCTCTCTCTCTCCCTCTCTCCATCTCTCCCTCTCTCCCTCTCTCCCTCTCTCCCTCTCTCTATCTCTCTCCTCTCTTCCCTCTCGTCGTCTCTCCTCCTCTCTCTCTCTCTCTCCTCTCTCTCTCTCTCTCCCTCTCTCTCTCCTCTCTCCCTCTCTCTCCCTCTCTCTCTCTCCCTCTCTCTCTCCTCCCTCCTCTCTCCTCCCTCTCTCTCTCTCCCTCTCTCTCTCTCTCCTCTCATCTCTCTCCCTCTCCTCGCTCTCTCTCCCTCTCTCTCTCTCTCCTGCTCTCTCTCTCCCTCTCTCTCTCTCCCTCTCTCTCTCATCCCTCTCTCTCTCTCCCTCTCTCTCTCTCCCTCTCTCTCTCTCCCCTCTCTCCTCTCTCCCTCTCTCTCTCCCTCTCTCTCTCCTCTCTCTCTCCTCTCTCTCTCTCCTCTCTCTCTTCTCCCTCTCTCTCTCTCCCTCTCTCTCTCTCCCTCTCTCTCTCCTCTCTCTCTCTCCCTCTCTCTCTCTCTCCCTCACTCTCTCCCTCACTCTCTCCTTCCCTCTCCTCTCTCTCCCTCTCCTCTCTCTCTCTCTCCCTCTCTCTCTCTCTCCCTCTCTCTCTCTCTCATTCTCTCTCTCTCCCTCTCCCCCTCTCTCTCTCTCATTCTCTCTCTCTCCCTCTCTCCCTTTCTCCCTCTCTCTCCCTCTCTCTCTCTCCCACTCTCTCTCCCTCTCTCTCCCTCCCCCTCCCTCTTTCTCTCTCTCTCTCTCTCTCCCCCCCCCTCTCTCTCTCTCTCTCTCTCTCTCTCTCTCTCTCTCTCTCTCTCTCTCTCTCTCTCTCTCTCTCTCTCTCTCTCTCTCTCTCTGCCCCCCCCCTCTCTCTCTCTCTCTCTCTCCCCCCCCCCTCTCTCTCTCTCTCTCTCTCTCTGCCCCCCCCCCCTCTCTCTCTCTCTCTCTCCCCCCCCCTCTCTCTCTCTCTCTCTCTCATCTCTCTCTCTCTCTCTCTCTCTCTCTCTCTCTCTCTCTCTCTCTCTCTCTCTCTCTCTCTCTCTCTCTGCCCCCCCCCCCTCTCTCTCTCTCTCTCTCTTTCTTTCTTTCTTTCTGTCTGTCTCTGCCTCTCTCTGTCTTTCTACGTGTCTCTCTCTCTCCCTCCCTCCCTCCCTCCCATCCTTTCTTCCTTCCTCCTTCCCCTCCCCCTCTGCCTCTCCCTCCCCCTCTCTCTCTCCTTCTCCCTCTCCTTCTCCCTCTCCTTCTCCCTCTCCTTCTCCCTCTACCTCTCCCTCCACCCCCCCCCCCCCCCCTCTCTCTCTCTCTCTCTCTCTCTCTCTCTCTCTCTCTCTCTCTCTCTCTCTCTCTCTCTCTCTCTCTCTGTCTGTCTGTCTGTCTGTCTCTGTCTGTCTGTGTCTGTCTCTCTCTCTCTTTCTCCCTCTCCCTCTCCCTCTCCCTCTCCCTCTCCCTCTCCCTCTCTCTCTCTCTCTCTCTCTCTCTCTCTCTCTCCTCCCTCCCTCCCTCCCTCCCTCCCTCCCTCCCTCCCTCCCTCCCTCCCTCCTCCCCCCCCCTGCCCTCAGTCTCTCTTTGTCCCTTCCTCCCTCCTTCCTTCCTGTCCCTCTCCTCCTCCTCCTTCCCTCCCACTTCACCCTCCCTCCCTCCCACTTGGTGTGTCTCTAGCTCTTCACTTCCCATATTTGGATCATTTACATTTTTCTAAACCTCTTTACAACGTATTTATCATTTTCTTTCCGGTTCTGTTTTTATCATGTTCCATACCGAGAGATTATCCCCCCCCCCCTATTAAGAACGGCGAAGAAATCAGAGAATAGGAGAAGAAATAAACTCGATAAGAGAAAAAAAAATGAAGAAAAGAAAAGAAAAGAAAGAAAGACACTTGTAAAGACAAACAAGCAAACAAACAAACGAAATCTTGACATAATGAGATGAGCGCTAAGATTTTGCTCTAGAGGGGGGGAGGGGGGGACGTTAGGGGGGTAGGTGGGGTTGGGGTAAGGGGGGGGAGGGGGTTCTGCGACACCTTATGACGTTGACTGCGTGTTGGGCGAGGAGGCGAGAGGAAGGAGGTGGAAGGAGGAAGAGGAGAGGGGGAAAAGAGGAAGAGGAGAAGGGGAAAGGAAGGAGGAAGAGGAGGAGGAGGAAAAAGGAGGAAGGAGGAAGAGGAGGAGGAGGAAAAAGGAGGAAGGAGGAGGAGGAGTAGGGGAAAGGAGGAGGAGGAAAAAGGAGGAAGAGAAGGGGAGAGGAGGAGGAGGAAGAAAAGGGGAAAAGAGGAGGAAGAAAAAGGGGGAAGGAGGAAAAGGAGGAGGAAGAGATGGGGAAAGGAGGAAGAGAAAGAGAAAGGGAAAGGAGGAAGAGATGGGAAAAGGAGGAGGAAGAGATGGGGAAAGGAGGAAGAGAAAGAGAAAGGGAAAGGAGGAAGAGATGGGAAAAGGAGGAGGAAGAGATGGGAAAAGGAGGAGGAAGAGATGGGGAAAGGAGGAGGAAGAGATGGGGAAAGGAGGAAGAGGAAGAGAAGGGGAAAGGAGGAGGAGGAAGAGAAGGGGAAAGGAGGAAGAGGAGAAGGGGAAAGGAGGAGGAGGAATAAAAGGGGAAAGAAGGAGGAAGGAGGAGGAAGAAAAGGGGAAAGGAGGAGGAAGAGAAGAGGATAGGAGGAGGAAGAGGGGAAGGGAAAAGGAGGAAGAGAAGGGAAAGATATAAAAAAAGGAAGGTTCAAGAAAGAGGAGATCGAAAGAGGAAAATGGGATAGAGAGATTAAAAAGAAGGAAAAGAATAGAAAGAAAGGGCAAGAACAGGAGTGAAAATAAATAAGAAAGATAGGAAAGAAAAAAAAACAAGAAAAGGAAAAAGAAAATAAAGCTTAAAAACAAAAACAAAGAAGAAAAAACGAAGTCACACCTACAAAAAAACAACAACAAAACATTAAAAAAGAAAAAGGAAAAAAAAGTATCTATTTACACTTTAATATCTTGTTAATTTTGATTCGAGCCGCGGAGCTTAAATGGGCAATTTGCGAGGTGTTAATCGGAGCAGCTGGTTTCCACTGCGACGAGGGGGTGGAGGAGGGAGGGAGGAGGGAGGAGGGAAGGGGAGGAGGAGGGGTGGGTTTGGATGGGAAGGGTGGAGAGGAGGGGAGGAGGAGGGGTGGGGGTGGAGGAAGAGGGGGAGGGAGTGGAGGGGTGGAGGAGGGGTGGGGGGTGGAGGAAGAGGGGGAGGGAGTGGAGAGGAGGAGGAGGGGTGGGGGTGGAGGAAGAGGGGGAGGGAGTGGAGGAGGGAAGGGTGGGGTGGAGGGGGGAGGGAGGGAGTGGAGGAGGGAGGGAGGGTTGGGGTGGAGGGGAGGAGGAGCGGTGGGGATGGAGGGGAGTGGGTGAAGAGGAGGAGGAGGGAGTGGAGGGGTGGGGAGGAGGAGGGAGATGGGGTGGATGGGAGGAGGAAGGAGTGGAGGGGAGTGGAGGAAGGAAGATGGAGTAGAAGGGAGGAGGAGGGTTGGGGGGTGGAGGAGGAGGGAGTGGAGGAGGTGGAGGGGAGGGTTGGGGGTGGAAGGGAGGAGGAGGGGTGGAGGAGGGAAGGGTGGGAATGGGGGGGGGGTGGAAGGGTGATGGGTGGGAATGGGGGGGGGTGAGGGTGGCTGCGTGCGGACGTTTCCTCGCTGCAACGGAATTATTTAGTGGAATTTTCCCCGTTTCGTCTCGCGCTGTCCTTGGTCCGTGGTCCGTGGTACACCCTGGGTCTTGCTCATCATCTTGGTACTTTATTTTATTTTATTATTATTATTTTTTTATTTATTTTTTTTTTATTTTATTATTATTTTTTTTTTGTCTTGTCTTTTTTTTCTTGTGTTTCTTGTATTTGTTTGTTATTTTTTTATTTCTTTTATTTTTGTGTATCTTTTATTTATTTATTCTTTATTGGTTTCGGTTTACCTTTCTTTCTCTTGTCTGTTTATCTTTTTGTTTCTCTCTCTCTCTCTCTCTCTCTCTCTCTCTCTCTCTCTCTCTCTCTCTCTCTCTCTCTCTCTCTCTCTCTCTCTCTCTCTCTCTCTCTCTCTCTCTCCTCTCTCTCTCTCGCTCCTCTCTCTCTCTCTCTCTGTTTCTCTCTCTCTCTCTCTCTCTCTGTTTCTCTCTCTCTCTCTCTCTGTTTCTCTCTCTCATCTCTCTCTCTCTGTTTCTCTCTCTCTCTCTCTTCTCTCTCTCTCTCTCTCTCTGTTCTCTCTCTCTCTCTCTCTCTCTCTCTCTCTGTTTCTCTCTCTCTCTCTCCTGCCCCCCCCCCTCCTCTCTCTCTCTCTCTTTCTTTCTTTCTTTCTGTCTGTCTCTGCCTCTCTCTGGGCTTTCTACGTGTCTCTCTCTCTCCCTCCCTCCTCCTCCCATCCTTTTCCTTCCTTCCTCCTTCCCCTCCCCTCTGCCTCT